AAAAAATACAAAAAAAAGTATCTAAAAGGCTAACCAAGGAGATTAAATAAAGTGGAAGTTTATGTCCGAGCAAGAGCCTTGGTGGAGAGGCTTCTATGAAAGGATAATACGAAGCACAAAATCATCAATGAGGAAAGTCATCGCAAATAGACTGCTAACAAGAGAAGAGATGGAAAGAATCACCAGTGAAGTTGAAGCGCTGCCTAACAACAGGCCGTTGACTTATGTATACAGCAAACCGGATGAGCTGCTACCTTTTGTGCCGGCGGACATAAGAGGTAGAAAATACAGTCTTCCAGGCAATGATGAAGCTCAACACGAAGTCAACATTGAAGAAATGTGGAAAAAGCGGCAAAACATCATGAAAGATTGGTGGAAAAGACGGAACAAGAAATACCTGAAGGAATTGAGAGAGCAAGCTTACGTAAGTAAACAAGAAACGATAGTGAACTGAGGAGACATCGTATTGATCGGTTTATGCACTTCTAGATCACTCTGGAACGTGGCTAAAGTAATGGACGTTTATATGGAGGTCGACGGGATAATACTTTCCTGCCTTTTGAAAACCAATATATTACTCATTCAGAGGCCTGTACAACACATCTAATAACTCTAAGGTTGTTTCCATTGAGAAAAACGAAACTTCATGCGAGCCGGAAGCTATTGAAACTCACCGAAGACAAGGAGAAGAAGAAGACAATAGGCACGGAAGAGCGCGTGTGTTAATAAAAAAATAATAAAAAAGGGATATTCTTGCTTTTCGTTCATATCGAATGCAGTCTACGCTTGTCTCACCCGGTTTCTGCAACAAGTATAGTTCAGAGTTCAGAATTTTTTCTGCAAAGCCCATCTCTCTTGATGAGGAAATGGCAATGATACCTTACTTTCTGCATTATTACACGCTCCTGCATTTAAAGGGGTATTGACACAAAGTAGCACAGGCTGAGATAGCCTGCAGAATCAATTCCTGTGAAATGCATATATCCAGCATTTACTTGCGTAATTGGTGCACCTTTATTCGTGATTTTGGGGCACCAAGAAGGAGGTGCGCAAATTACGTGGGAATTCCTCGAGCGCATACGAAATATTGTGTCACAGTCCTAACACGTGCAGTATATAAATGAAAAAGAAAATTTGAAGCAGCAAATGAAGTGTACTTGATAATTATGAAAAAATTTGCATGTACTTTAACCAGTCAGATACGGTCACGTGTGGTCCAGCGGAATCACCGATCGCAAGTCCGATTGGGAATCATCGTCGCAGCTGCTGCCACCACTCTCTGAAAGCACATCGTCCTCGGTTCCATTGAGCGCATTAGAACGCCCCATTTTTTCGAAGCTCTTTCGACAATGCTGGGAAAAACTAGGTCCCACACCATGGCAATACCGGAAGAACTAAGCATCCACACATAATTAAAAAGGCCTCCTTCAGTGGCAGGAAACTTTTGTGCACTCTTCTGCTTTTTCGTGTACCTATCGTGCTGGTGGTCACGTTGTAGTAGGCCCCCTTGAAGTGCTTTGCGGCAGCACGGTTCCCGTTTTCTTCGGGAAAAATAACAACAGCGAGCTTCGATTTCGCTGTATATATATTTACTGTAGCATATCGCAAGAGAACCATTAAAACGCGCCTGCTGGACTGGCGAAACTTAATCTTCCAAAATCAACTAAGCGTGCGTTGCAGTGTGGACGCAGAGAACGAGGGGACAGTTGGCACAACAGGCCCTCGCACGCCTCCAATGCAGAAAGTCATCCATGCCGTGACGCGAGTGTGAATTCTCGCCATTCTCGCGATGGTAGAGATTGGGAGATAGGGGGAGGCAAACGCTCGAGCAGTTCCGGCAACCTGTCAAAAGGTTTGTGTTTGTGTGCGGTATTCTAGGGACCCTAGTTTGAAGGAAGTCCTCGGAAAAAGGACTTCGCACTCGCAGTGTGTTTGACCTGCGCTTGTCTGCTCGGCGAGGCGTGCACACGGCCGAAGCATCGAAAGGTGCAGAGGTGCGCGCGTCGGCGAGCTGGCTCGGGCGGGTCGGGGAGCATAAAATATGTGAATAAATTTTCTTTTTCAGCAAAGTTGGTAAATAATAGGAGTGCGCAAATCATGTGCATAAATATGGTAATCTGCAAAATATTAATAGTGCATATAGCTTGGAAAGTATTTCACGGCAATTTTGAAGTTTGCATATTGAAGGTATTGACACCATATGAAGGGACCCCTTTGGGACCTCTTTACTTCCCTCACGTCACCACACTGCAGTCAATAAAACAAGTTATTACACCATAGCTGCTTTTTTTCTTTTGCTGCATTTGTTCTAGCAGTCTATACTTCTCAGCGGCTGGTTGTGAGTGTGTGGACACAGCTGATGCGTTGTAAGTCTTGTGTTTGGCAACACTGCGGTCTTGTTACCTATTCAAAAGGAATGCTTGATGCGGACCGTGCAGAAGTGTGTCACAGTTCTGTGTGCTGACGTGGTGGAGCGCTGCACACACTATGTGGTGATAGTTGCACTTGGTGGCTTGTTGTTTTTGGAGCTCTCTCAAATCGAAAGTGAAATTGGTCGATAATGAGGTGCCTGTAAATAATTATCTGTCGCATGCTGCAGCAAAGGATGTGCTATGTTGTGACTAACAGGCCCCCCAGTAACACATTGCAGCAAAAAAAAAAAATGACTCCAAAGTTTTTGTGTCGGTACTCCTTAAGCCATGCCCCTGAAATTAAAGGGGAAAAAACATGCACATAACCGGCGCCCCTTCTTTGTAAAGGCATTGTTCTGTTTTTGGTGCGGGTTATATGTGATAAAATACATTACGTAGACAAAGAAGGGGAACTATCAGCTTGTTGTACTCAAGTAATTCCTGTCCGTGTCTTTAGCAAGCAGATTGCTGCCTGGCAAGATGTTCATGGCAAGCTGCTTTACTGGTTTCTGTGGCTGCAAAAGTCTTGAAAAGATTGCAAAGCTGCGAAGTGCACAAGACATCATCTCATGCAAAAAATAATGTAGCTGTAATACAGTGGAATCCTGCCATAACCAAGTCTGCCACAGCAAATACTTTTTGATTTCCCGTCAGCTGCCAATGAAAAACAGTGTGAAAAATAATTCGTCACTAGGAATATTTTTCCTGAATACTTCACTTTGGCAAAGTTTTCGAAAGTGCTACCTCATAAGAAAAAGGAACTTGCCTAGGATTGAAGCGAAATGCTGCTACCAACTCGGCCGTGTCTCGTTGGCTCTTATCCAGAGTGCGCAGGCCGCATCAAAACACCCATGTCTTCACCACCACACGCACATTGCGATAAGATGATTCGCCAATGAGATGCTCGCGACAGATTGCCCATACACCATGATGCTGCCAGTGGGTTTTGTGTATTTGTTTTTTGGCAGAATCTTTCTTCAAGAACTCCTGCCACGTTTTTGACGCCACACTCAAAACAAAACTATTGCTCATTGTTAACTAGCCCTGCAATTGTGAACGACATCCACAATGTTATGAAGGCGCACGCGTATCCAGTGCACACTTAGTCCAAGGATTACTAGTGTACATTCTGTTGCAATGACTGATATTACACAACGCGGTGGTGTCAACGTAATCAGGGATAACCATGAAAATGTGCATGCATTTACACACACTGACTCAAGCCAATATTGCCATTACTGCTTGCCACAATGCTGCGGTCAAAAATCACGTTGATAGGAATTAAGATCAGAACCACACAGTTCTGAAGTCAGGCGCATGACCAGCATAGAAGCACAGATTGAAAATGGAACTACAGTTTGCTGCAACTGCTGCGCAGGAAACCGCAGTTCAGACTAAAGGCAATAAAGCTGTAAAATGGCACGAAGCATTGCAGCTTTTTTGTCGTTCACTTATGGCTATAGTAGGGCGGAGCTTCAGGGTTTTCTGTTTTCATTTGGCCTTTAGTGAAACTTTGGAACGCTATTTCAGTTGCACTGTGCACTCTGTGTGCTCCAAGGGTCGTGTCAATACATATCACATCTTCTCATATATAACCCTCCTCTGCACCCACGTATTTACACAAAGCCGCTTTCCTTGCATCATTGTGAAGGCATGTAGTCGAGCCAATATGAGCACCGCAATTCTCGTATGACTTGCGCCCTGACTTTAGCACCAGGTTTTTTGTATATTTTAATTGTATTTACAGGAGAAATATGTTCGCTCGTTGAGTGGCTTGGTAAGTTAGCAAGAGTTAAATGCATGCGCTTGCTGGAACCAAAAGAACGAGCCTTAATTATCAGATCTTAGCAAATTTTGTGTTCTAGAGTTCCACTGTAACGAAATTCTTCAATAACCTATTTTTGTCGCTGTGGGATTTCACTGTACCGCATCTTGATTGCATGTCATGTAAACTTGCCAAGCAAAGATCGTTATCTCAGCCATTTTGTCTGTGCAGACCCTTGGAAAGCACCAGCCTACACTGTAGAGGCCTTAAATGCCAAGCATCGATGTTCATGCAGAAGAAAGTATATTAGGAATGGAGGTCACCTCATAGCTGAGATAGCAAGTGCTCACTGCATCCTGCTCTTGGAGTTGTACAGTATGCTGAGGCAAGAAAAAAGATTGTTGACAGCTGTGTGAGTGTGGCGTTCATATTGTGCACAAAAAGGGTCGATAAAAAAAATTTGGTAGGTCTCTCCGTATACCCATTCTTTTTTTCGTAATAAGCATTTTTGGAAGAGGCAAAAAGGAATAAAGAAATTGGGTGCCCCATATGTGTGTGTCTCTCTTTTTTCCATGTCCGTTGTCTACGTGCCTTTTATCTCGGCTCATGTCATAGTCTTGCGGGCCAAAATAGGCTATTGGGCCAAATAATTTTCTATGCATTTTTTTTCTGTGCATTGCAGTCTCGATTGATTGATTGATTGATTGATTGATTGACAAGTGCATATTGAGGCAGAAAGAGCACTCAATTTGCTTGCACTGATAAAACAATGAAACATTTATTTCGTGTTTTTTTTTTTTTTCTGTTCTCTCACTGTTGAACAGGCCAGAACATGCTGAGCTGCCTTTCAATGAGCTACAAGGTAAGCTTTACCTTCTAACCGTACTTGTGTCCACTGAATTTGTAAACTATGCACTGCCATTGTTTGCTTGTTTTTTTAAAAATAAAAAAAAATATTGCAACCTATTTATGAGTATGTAAGAAAAGTGACAAGAAATGTGGGAAATATATGCATAAAGGATCCCCCCGATGTTTGTCTCTGGCAAAAGAATATGTTGTGTGACCGATGCGCGGAACACGCGGCATACTCGTGGCATAAGTTGCCATCATTCTAGGGCTTTTCCTTAACCCTCTTGGGGAAACTACAAGCGCACTTTCGTGATATAATTTTTCTCAAGTAAGAAAGCACTCACTATGCCATTAATATCTGTGAAGCATTATGTCTTGATGGCAGTTATGGCTGGGTTACTGGCTTGGAACCTAAGCATTAATCAAATTGCATTGCCTGCTCGTACTCTGCATCTGTTCACATGGTTTTATGCCTGACACGGCGGCCGTCCTTTTGCTAAGGGCTTTCAAGCACCAGCGTGGTCTCAACTGGCCCGCAGAGGGCACGATTTCAAATCACACCTGATCCTGCACATTTTCTTAACGCACACACAATTACACAGCAAAATCGGCTGTTGTACGTGGTTACCTCATGACTGCTTTCACTGCAGAAGGCCACCACTGTTATCCCAACAGTTAAATGGTGTAGTCTAAGTTGTATTTCTTCTCACGCAACAAGCTTTCTAAGTTGTAATGAGTTGTAGTGTACACGTATCTCGAAGGAGTACAGCCACTAGTGTGGGTTAGGTCTTAGCGAGAAGCAGGGCACGCGTTGTGGGAATCGAGGCTAGCCCGCCGCCTTTGCGTGGGCTTTGCCGCCTCTTTCTGCATTCTGATATCCTGACATGACTCTCCTCCGCGGTCTTCCGCGCTGGGAGAGCGAGGAGTGACGCTTAACTCCTCTTACCCGGTCGTGAATGTGGACTGTAGCGCCGTGCGCAGAGTCTCCCGAGAGGTTTCGTGCGTGCATGTCAGGAGCGAAAGAGACCTTTCCAGGGACGACAGGGGGGTAAGCACGCTTTTCTTTTCCGTCCGTCGGCTCCCTTTGTTTGGGCCTAGTTTGGGCTTCGCCAACAGCGCCTTGCGCCCGTGGCCAACGCTTACCTTATACTGCCTCCCTTCCGAACGCTACGCCGAGGGCGAAGCAATGTTCTAGTGCGTGGTAAGCTGCGCCAACCCGTATATTTCCGAAGCCAATGCGACAGCTTTTGCCCTCGCTCTAACAATCGAACCTTTGTCCCGGTGTCTCCGTGAATCACTTTTACCACGGAGACGTGCTCGCGGCACCCCTGTGTAGTACTTCTCGCCCGTGACGTGGATAAGCCCATTCGCCCTCTCGCTGTGCCTTTGCAACGGACTCTGTACTGTGTTTATGGTGTTGCCGCAGACAATAAAGTGTTGCGACCTTGAGCAGTACTGTGTTCTCGCCACGGCGACGGTTAACGCGTGCCCTGCGGCTCGCTAAGACCTGACCCACGCTAGTGGCTGTAATCCTTCAAGATACGTGTCACTACACTGGCGCCCAGCGCGGTATCAAGAGCTCTAAGCTTTTTACTGCTCTTAGCGGGTCAGTTCGCCTGTGCGGTTCGGGCTCATCGCAACATGCCTGCTTCATGGCATTTTCGTCCGCTGACCTTTTTAGGCGGAATGCCGCGTTGCACAAACAGGCCATCGCATCTATTGACGTGCCCCTTTCGGCACCTGTCTATGTCTTCACCCCCTTTTGTGGTGAACACACAACCAACGTGGTATCTGACGTGCTATCTCGTGCCCCCTGTTTCCTATTGCAAAAAACAGCGTCCCTAGCGTGATGTCAGTACGTTTTTGGCACTGGTACACGCTGGAGACACTGGTACACGCTTGTATTCACTGGCACATCGCTGGGCGCCTGGGAAAAAGCTGTGTCGCACTGGTAGGGGCGCTGGCTTAATCGCTGTGATGCTGGTGCACACTGCGAAGCGCTGGAGTTTTCACTGGCAAGCGTTAGTGAAAACTGGAGCACTCACTGTTTCTACCAGTGCAGCGTGCACATTATTGTAGCGTGTGCCATGATATGTTTCGGTGTCGTTGGTTATAAAACGTTTGATTCGACGGCACGCAGAGATGCTACCCTAACAAATACTGAGCATACATAACTTTTGCAGCGCACGTCTGGATTGCAGCAATTATAATGCACCTTTTTCGCATATGCTCCCGCGTATACCGGCCAGATTTACATCAGCCGTCTATTGCTGTAACGATTCCAAGTTGCAGTGTTTGTAAGCCTGCAGCTGCACGCCACTCCTAATAGAAACAGGCAACTGTTTTTGCGGCCTAGTTGACGAAACGTAAATGAGCTCTCTCGATAGCTTCGCAAGGTTTCCCAGCGGAGGCGGAAAAAAAGCTATCGTTCGATTCCGCCACACTGCATAAGTGGATGTCTGACCATGCTTATCCTTCTACTTACTTCAGGTAACAGTTAGAAACGTTCCGAAGAAGCTCAAATGCAGAATCTTCAACTATCCCAACTCACTGTGTCGAGAGTGGTCTTACCCAGTGCCCGGCCCAGCGAGCGTTAAGCCTGTTGTGCTGGCCGCATTGGTGTATGTGTTACCGGTGCATCTTGCTTCGTGTACACACAATCTTAGAGTGTGAGACTAACTGTAAAGAATAGTTAAGACATCCATGAACCTAAATCAACTATTTTGCCTTGGGGGAATCAAGGCTAGCTCACTGCCTTTGTGCGGGCTTTGCAGCATTTTCTGCCGTTCTCATGTCCCGACATGACTCCCCTCCTCTGCTGTCTGCCGCCCTGGGAGAGCAAGGCGAGATGCTTAACCCCTCTCACCCTGGTAGCAGATGTCAACTGTGGCGCCGCGCGCAAGGTCTCTTAGTACATTTCGCGCGCACACGTCGGAGAGCGAGTCAGATTCTCCCGGACAGCTTACGGTGAGCACGAATTCCCTTTTCCGTCCGTCGACTCCCGTTGCTCGGGGCTTGTCGGACTTCGCTGACGGCGCCTCAAGCCCGAGGCAAACGCTCACCTTTTGTTGCCCCTTTGCGTATGCTCGGCCAAAGGGCGGTGCGGTGTCCTAGTGTGTGGCCAGGCTACACCGACCCGTCTCCCTCTAAAGCCAACGCAAGCCCCTTTGCCCTCACTCGAGCAACCGGGCCTTGGTCCCGGTGTCTTCGTGAATCACTTTTACCATGGAGACGTGCTCGTGGCACCCTTTGTAGTACTTTGCGCCCGTGGCATAGATAAGCCCATTTGCTTTCTCGCCACGCCTTTGCGACGGGCTGTACTGCGTTTTGGTGTTGCCACAGACAATAAAGTGTTGCGACCTTGAGCAGTATCATGTTCTCGCCACGGCGACGGTTAACATGTGCCCTGCGGCTCGCTAAGACCGGACCCACGCAAGTGGCCGTACTCCTTCGGGATACGTGTCACTACAGCCTTTTGTTTATGTTGGCACAAGGAGCGCTGACAATTGATGCGTCACGCTTTCAGCTACTCAGGCTATCACCGAAAGCTGCCGACCGCACTTAGGCGGTACTTCTCTGACTAATATATAGAAACACGCAATTTCCACTTGGTAATTCTGTACGCCTTCGTGAACTGACTCCCTGGCATATGTTTTCAGCGGATTGCATTAGTATTTCTATGGGTGTTATTCTTTTCATTGTTGGTATTAATATAACTGCATGTATCTGTACACTGGCACGCTCCCCGTATACTGCCAGCGGAGGCCAGAAAAACTGATGTCACTCAGTATCGCCACTCTGTAAATACATTTCTGGCAATGATTGACCTTCTACTTACTTCAGATACAGTGTAGGTAACAGTGTGAAATGTTGCAAAGGTCAAATGCAGAAACTTCAAGCATCGCAACTCAGCTGCTTCGAGAGTGGCCTTACCCAGTGCCCTCAGCGAGGCCTATCGTGCCGGCCACATCGATGTACATGCTGCCGGCGCTTTTTACTTTAAGTAGGCACAATTCTAAAGTGTAAGAATGACTTTAAAGTACAGTTTAGACATCCCTGAGCTTAAATCAACCATTTCTCCGCATGTGCGGTACCGACACAAGAAGCGGTGACGATTGATGTGTCGTGCTTTCAGCAACGCAGGCTGTCACCGAAAGCTTCCTTCTAAGCGGAGGAGCCGGTGCTTCTCTGACTCGTATGTAAGAACACACAATTTTGAGTTGGCAATTTGGTACGTCCTTAGTGAACTAACACACTGGCATACTTTTTTCAGCGGATTGCATTAGTAATTTCTTCGGCGGTTTCTTAGTTGCAGGTATCGATATAACTGCAAATATGTAATCTGACACGCCGGATGTGTACTGCTACATCAACGTTTGCTTGAAAAAAAAAAAAAAAAACCTCAATATTCACTCGTGGCCGCGGATATCTACCAAACAAGACATTTTAAATCATCTGTAGATGTCGACCAGTAGCAAGTGCGAGAACCCACTATCAAAGGAAAAAGCTATCGGCAGCAACAGCCGACAATCTGTGGCTGCTCCTCCAGTCAATTTGAGATTTTTCAGAGTTAAGACGTGGATGCTTCAAAAAACTTTGCGCTCGTGCTACTATCTGCACGTCATTCGGTGCCCGGAAGCCGTTCGTCACTGTTGAATCAAGACGCGATTGTTATTGAAAAGGAATATCGCATCAATCTTGACTGTGCGACTTGTAAACATGAAGTCGAACAGCGCGTTTTTCGGATAGTCATTTTACAACCCCCCACGTACATTCTGGCGTGGCGTAGTGGGTAGTGTACTGAGATAGTAATCAGAAGGTGGCGAGTTAAAATCCCGTCAACGGGCGTTTTTTTTTTTTTTTCATCTTTTTAATTTTTCTCATTTTTATGTGAATGCACACTATTTTGCTTATTTATTTATTATTTATTTATGGCGAATGGGCACCCACGTTTTAACCATATGAAGCCATTTGGAGGTGCTGGTATCAGCGCCATACTGGGCCCATAATCAG